AATTAAGTACAAACTAAGACAAAAATATGATTCCTATATCTAAGTCTGTTAAGATGAGAGAACATAAGCCACCTCTTTTTTTTACGCTTTCTGAAACCTTTTTGACCCTGGACAATTTGTGGTCAGTACCACTTTGTATCTAGTGCCCTAAAGTTCCCTGCACTGTACACTGAACTTTTGTGATGTTCAGACAAAAGTCTGCACTGTGTCCTCAGCAAGGTCTTGTTCTGATTTCTACCAACCTGGATTAATCGGCACGGATAGGTATCATCCAGGTGAGGGAGGGAATCCAAGTATCTCTTCCATGTATTCCTGCTTGGCGCCAAGTGCTTTCACTAGTAACAGGGACATTGGGCAGAGCTTTCAGTCTATCATAATGACAGGAATGTTGGCGGATGGTTCCAATCTGTGGATGGCAGATCCTCATCTGTCTGTCACTCTGCATGGGGACTGGCTTTGTTTAATTGACTAGTAACATTTTTAATCCTCTCTCGTATTAACACCCAAACCAATAAGAACCACAGTGCACACAGTTCGCTGTCTGACATAATACAGTGTTTTGAAGATTGTGGGCTTTCCGGTGAGGGGATGCTCACTTACTACACAAATTCATTGGGCACACCCCAAAGACATGAAAGCGGAAATGCCCCACAAGGTGTCCAAGGCTGCATCTCTTTGGGGAAGCCTACTGCTACCTCGTCTTCCTGTTGAGAAGCTACTGGGTCCGCAATGCCATCCTCTTGGCGACTGGATGAGTATTTTAACAGTTGTGCCACCAGGCTTTCTCATTAGCCACACACCACCAAAGAGTTACCTTCTCTCAACATTGATTTATTTCTAAACTAAGAGCAATAGTTTATGACAATTCTATTTTAGCTTTAAAACTGGAAAATCATATGAAAAGAAAGCATTACGTTGGTTAACTAATGCAGAATTACTTGTATGAAAAACACATGTTAAGATAATTCTATTTATTCACTACTGCCTCCTCACCACCAACCTCAGTAATATTGTCTAGTATATACTATTATTTCTCTATGTTGAATGAGTAGATAGGTATTTAAATATTATATCTAGCTTTCAAATTGCTTTCAAATCATGAACCATTTTTAATTGGATACTCTTATAAAATCTGTGAAGGAACTATTGGTAAGTTCACAGTTTAGGAAAACTTGACTGTGAAGAGTGTGCTGACCCAGGAACTGTCCTAGCACATGGGTTTAGATAGTCTAACAGTGGAACATTGGGTCAAACACTCTTAATTAAAGGTAAGTATCACCCAAGGAAGAATCAAATCTATTTTGTGCTTCTACTGCATACCACACATTTAGCCTATCTGAACACAGTTATATTTACATCGCACTAATGAACCTTGCTAACCCCGATACATAGGTGAGGACATAGGATCTAGGAGAAGCTAGAAATACAGCATAACCTCACAGATTTCATGGTAGACACAGTTAAGATTTTGGTTTGGCTTGTTCTGTACAGATGATTACAACTTGTTATGATGTTCAGTGTGACTTGGGTCTTCTGGAGGGGACCTGAGGGGAAAATAAATGTGCACTCTTTCATAGACTATAAAATAGAACTTCTGCTAGTGTTTGGGGAGGGACAGGGCTGGGAAGCATTTTAAAAACAAATAAGCAAGGCATGGATAGTAGATCTGCTTAAGGGTTATATTCCCTGTTATGATCAAGCTTGTTACAGGAACAGTTTTCTTTTCTTAAGGGTCTCTGTCATAACTCATCAAGAGACTCAGAACCTTCATCTGAAGGGTCAGTTACTATAATGACATCAGTTAATGTAATAACTAAATGATCGTTCAGACCTGGGTGTGGGGTCCCCACAGAGCTTTGGTCTTCACTTTCAAATGAAGCTCTGGTTTTCACGGACTGTTGGAAAACTGAGTTGAAAACCTCAGAGAAATGGGAGGAATGTCATTTTTTCCATGGAAAATATGACTTAAAGATTCAAGTTTTACATAAAATTAATCAGGGAAAATACATCTTATTCTAAAACAAGATGAAATTCAAGTAATTTTCTCGACAAACCAGTGAAGGAGCAGTGATTGAACTGAAAACCAGTGGGTGCAGGTAACCGAAGCCTGATTGCTGTGCTGAACTGGGAGGCAAGTGCACGCTCCTGGATCCACTTCTCTACCTCCTTTTACAGTGTTATTTCTACTAGCCGCTGGTCAAACCTTGAATATTTGGAGAAAAAATGATAATTCCTTAATGTTCCATATAATGTACTTTACAATCCAGCTTTTTTTTCTTTCGGACTTAAAAAGTGAAAGAAGAATAAAGTTTCTATTGAGACTATTCTGATTCATGATGAACTCGCATGGGTCAGAATAACACTGTCCCACCTGGTTCTAAATGACTGATTTCTAAAGTAGATCATCAGGACTTTCTCTCAAGGCACCTCTGGATAGTCAACCCTCCAATTTTTAAGTTAGCACCAAAGTGCAAATGGACCACCCAGGGAAATCCCCTCCCTCTTTTCTGTTTCTTTTTTCCCCTGACTGCTGCCCTCCTATAGAATCTGATGGGCTACCTGCCCCGCTAATGCCTCTCAGCCTCAGCTCATTACTGCAGCTCATTTCTCCTCAGCTCATCAAAGCCCAATTCAATTGACATAATGAAATGTTGTTTGAATCATCTCTTAAATGATCTCCTCGTCTTTGAAGTAACTCTGATAATAGTGAATTTGGAAGTCGGAATAAAACATGTGAAGTGAATGAGAACTTTGACTAGGGAAACTGACTGGTCTCCCACCTACAGAACCTCACCACATACACAGGGGTAGTGCTTTGACTTAGCTGTGCATTCTGATCTGTGATAAAACAAGAAGAGAGTGAATCTTGTTCAAGTTCATGCGAAGTAACTTGGGGATATTCAATTCATAATCTTGGAGTACTTATTGCCATTGAGTCCACTCGGACTCATAGTGACCTGACAGGATAGGGTAGAACTGACACTATGGGTTTCTAAGGCTTAACCCTTTGCAAGAGTAGAAAGCCTCATCTTTCTCCTGGGAAACAGCTGGTGCATTTGAACTGCCTATCTTGTGGGTGGCCACACACTGTATCACCATTACCCCCTCAGAACTTTGACACTCTTGGGATAGATCATTCTTTCTTCTTGGCTTTTGTAATATCACTCTATCTTCATTTGTCTTCTGTCTTGGATACATTTTAACATTCCCTTATTAAATATTTACTGTGCAATCTGTGTACTTATTTCATATATATTTTACTGTAAGGGTTAGTTTCCTTTTCTAAAAAAGGTAAAATTTTGAATGAATTTAATTTTTAGGTTAATTTGGGGAAATGACATCATCATCCTGTTTTATTCAATTTATTAACATGTTATACCCTTTCAATGGTCAGATATTTTATTACGCTCTTTATCATACTTTTGATATTATTCTTATTAGATTGGCCCACAGTGATGGCTGTTGAATGAGGCAAACATAAAATAACTAGTTGGAGCCTACAGGACAGTACTATAATCTTCCACATATAATAATATTTGAGCCAGACTTGTAATTAGAAAGCAAACATTCATTTGAATGCGGATAGACGTATCATATTGAAAACCACAAGAACTAGTCCTTTGCTCAATGAAGTTGCTGTCTTAATGTGATTAAAGGAAAATAAGTAACCACTACTTATACCACCACCATTCAAGTCTGAGCTTTAAGAAGAGAGTAAAGCCACACACAGCTGCAGTATTAACTTGGCCGTAGGCACATCGTCTTTCTTGGCACTTTTAAAAAAATCATTTTACTGAGGTCTCATACAACTATTATCACTATTGATACATACACACCTATTGTGTCAAGCACATTTGTACATTTGTTACCAGCATTATTCTCAAAAAACTGCTTTCTACTTGAGCCCTTGGTATCAGAGCCTCATTTTCCCCTCGCTCCCCGACCCCACCTTTCATGAACCCTGGATAATTTATAAATTATTATTATTTTGTCATGTCTTACACAGTCCAATGTCTCCCTTCACCCACTTTTTTTGTTGTCCATCTCCCAGGGAGGGGGTTATATGTAGATCCTTGTAATAGGATCCCCCTTTCTACCCCACCCTCCTTCCACCCTCCCGGTATCATGTTGGGAATTTTTGCAATTAGAAAAAAAGATCAAAAATGAAAAAAAATAAAAGTTTACCTTACAATTATTTGCTATAAAGACAAATATATCAATACTATGAACTAAGACCTGAATATTCACTTTTGTTATTTTTAATTCGGTTTTGATTTAAAGTAAAATAAAACATTTTCATGAACTCTGAACTATACGAGTGACTATGCTAACTACGTCTGGAAAAATCTACCCAGTACTTATGGCTCAAGAATTCAAATATATTTAGGACCATATGAGATATTATAATAAATGACTAAGAACAACTGAGAAATACTTGCTAATTAAACAACTCTTAAACTCCAGTAAAGAGCCCTGGTTGGTTCAAATTCAACAACCACTCCATGGAAGAAAGATGAGGCCGTCAGTTCCATTAAAATTTAGACTTTTCCCGGCCAGCAGAGGAATACCAGGAATACTAGGGCCACTATGTGTCAGAAATGACTTGATAGCAGTGGAGTTTTTATTCACCTCCAGGAGCAAGCAGACAAGAGAGGAAAGAGTTCTTAGTGGACACATGCTTCGAACACAGTATAGGTAAACCCTTACCAACATAGCTCATTTGCCTGCAAGATGCAGGTCATAGGACACTGAATGCAGATGCAGCACTATGAAAACTAGTAGGAATGGCAAGAAATGAGCTGTCTCTGAACCCTGGGAAAGTTAGTGTGAGGATTCCTGTTCAAGTGGTCTATGTTCAGAGTAAGAAAATTGTCAAAACACAGAAATGTAAAAATTCTGAAAATAATGCTCTAAAAGAAATTGTTCTCCTCAGTTACTGTATTAACAAATTCCTATTCCATCCTTCTCACAGTGCCTGTGTGAGAAAGCACACATGTAACATGGGAAGGGCCAATGATTCCATGTTGACAGAATTCGTCCTGGTGGGGCTTTCTGCCCACCCCAAACTCCAGACCATGTTCTTTGTGCTAGTTTTATGGATGTACCTGATGATCCTGCTGGGAAATGGAGTCCTCATCTCAGTAATCATCTATGAGTCTCACCTGCACACCCCCATGTATTTCTTCCTCTGCAATCTTTCCTTCCTGGACATTTGCTACACAAGCTCCTCTGTCCCACTAATTCTCGACAGCTTCCTCACAGTACGGAAAACCATTTCCTTCTCGGGATGCGTGGTGCAAATGTTCCTCTCCTTCGCCATGGGAGCCACCGAGTGTGTGCTCCTAGGCATGATGGCACTGGACCGCTATGTGGCCATCTGCTACCCGCTTCGATATCCTGTGATCATGAGCAAGAGTACCTATGTGCCCATGGCAGCTGGGTCCTGGATCATTGGACTTACTGATTCCCTTGTGCAGACATCTCTTGCAATGCAGTTACCATTCTGCACTAATAATGTTATTAGCCATTTTGTCTGTGAAATTCTGGCTATCCTGAAACTAGCCTGTGCTGATATTTCAATCAATGTGATTAGTATGGCTGTGTCTAATCTGATTGTTCTCATCATTCCCTTGCTAGTAATTTCTGTGTCTTATGTTTTTATTGTCGCCACCATTTTGAGGATTCCTTCTACGGAAGGGAAACGGAAGGCCTTCTCCACCTGTTCCGCCCATCTCACGGTGGTGATCGTATTCTACGGAACCATCTTCTGCATGTACGCAAAACCCAAGTCCAAAAACTCTGTGGGTTCCGATCATCAGGACATCACTGACGCCCTCATCTCCCTCTTCTATGGAGTGATGACTCCTATGCTCAATCCCATCATCTACAGCCTGAGAAACAAGGATGTCAAGGCTGCTGTGAAGAACATGCTGGGTAGAAAGCACTTCGCTGATGGCATGTAAGCACTCCTTTACTCTTTGTGACCTGAGATGCACAGCTGCTAGAGACCCAGAATTTGGAAAGAGGAAACTAGTACATATATATAATAAAATTCACTGTTTGTTATTGAAATCACATAATGGTAATATTTTGGTAGCTATTGTTATTCACAAGTTTTCTAATGGCAGAAATAAAATAATATAAAATGTTAGTAGTCTCAGCCAGAGATTTAAACTTTATAAAACAATCAGGTCATAAGGCATTGTAAAATGCACCTTTTAAAATGTGTTAGTTACATTAAGAATTATGCAAAGTGAATAGTAAACAGCGTCTGGCATTGTATTCTTTACTGTTTGTTGCTGCACATGTATATGTTCCCTGAGGACAAGAATTTGTCTCATTATTATCCAATGGTATCCCAAAAAGCACCCCTAGAACAGAGGCTGACATATGTTCACAACAAATTTCTTTAAAATTCATATAAGGTTCACATACTAAGAAAATCAGAATACATATCGGTCATAGCTGAAGTATGAAAAATTTTAAAGTTGATTAAATGCAATATTTTCAAAATGAACTGTGTTGGCTTTCTGTCATTTAATTAGTCCTTATTTTTTAGTGTATTCTGTGATTTCTATGTGACGTGCAATATTATATGGAACAACAGATTTTTTCACCCATTGTCACACCTTCCTGGGATTTGGTATATAATAAGACCGAAATAAATGAAAGAGTTCCTTCGTAATGCATCTTAAGTAGTAGTGAAAGGAATACATGTAACATAGTAGCAGAGAGTTCCTCTTAGCTGAGTGACAGTCCAAAGGACTTAGAGGACGGACTGTAATGAGGACTTCTCTCCTAATTTACATTGGATTTCACAAGCCCCGAAGGAGTAAAACACCTGGACAGAACTGGTAACTGAGCAAAGCTGCATCAAAGAGCCAGCAGAGACAGAGGGCAAAGTCAAGTTGTTCAATGAACTAGGTGCTGCAGAGTTTGGGGGCAAGGTGTCTGTTTTGCTTGAAGAGTGCACATATACATGACAGCATCCTGGTGGAGAAGAGAAGCCACATTTCTCCTGGGGGCCGAGTCCAATGTGGACCGGGCCGTGTTTCCTCCTGTCACTATGGGTCAACAACAACATGGTCAATACAGGAAAGAAACACTCCACTTCATGTAGCTCTCTGGGGAGTTCATTTGAGTTGAAACACAGATCACAAATAAAACTTTATAAATAAACATATATATATATATTTATAAAGTTTTATGTACATACATATATAAAAAAAGTTTTATATACATATATATAAAACGTTATATATATATATAGCCAGTAACTACTAAATTGTAAAATCTTGATACTCTTCTTTCTTCTTAACTTATAACTTTTATTACTTCATAAGATTAAATGAGTTAATTCTTAATACCTAGAACATTCTAAAGCATTGCCTATTGTGCTTTTAATATGTGATAATTATATTAGAATTGGTTGAAAAGCATTTAGGAGACACACATTTTTTATCTTTCTTTTTTTAGTAACTTTGGTGTCATTAACTGTTGTTTTTCCACTTTAATCACTTTTCTATGTTCTATGTTGTGATACAGGTTTTGGACACAGAACAAATTAATTTCTCCTTGATCAGTTGGCTGCTGTGGCATCTGTTTGGCTTCTTCTAGTATGGCTCTTACTGGGCATTTTTGTCTAAACTCCAGGAGCAGAGCCAACTTTTCCAAAATCTAGTCTTAATATAGGGGTTTTATTTCCAGTAAATCAATCTTGAATATCTTGAAATCTAGTTTTAAAAAAGTAAGATGAATATAATAATCTTCTTAAGAAATGTTTGGAATCAGATGGATCCAGGGAAACATATTTGGTCAGACCATCATTTTGATACACAGCTACACAGCACAAAGACCCGGCAAGACATTTGACTTTCTTCTGTAGTTGTTTTCTTATTTCTACACAGTAGATAATGACAGCCTTTTTGATTTATTTTAAAATAGAGTCATCACCATCACCATATGAAAGGAGGATATTGAATAGTTCATCAAATCCTAAAATATTTGTGAAGATGGATTACCTTTGCACCCTGGGGAAAAAAGAGAAAAGAAATGTGTATATACCTCCACTTTTTAACTGATGCATATCTAGCACCATCTAGATTTTAGATTCACCGTATAATGCACCATTTTCATCCTTTTGAAGGTGGTTAATGACCTTTGTCCCTTTTTTAGCCTGTGCATGAAGATTAACTAGATATGTACTGGGAAAAAATGAAAGAAAAACATTGTCCACATTTACAATGCTGCCACAACTGTGGGTAAGAGTTTTTACTAACTACAAATCATATTAGAAGTAGAATAATTTGAGCAAAACTTAGTGGAAAGATGAAATTATTGCTAATAGAAAGAGAGTCAATAAAAGATCATGCCCAAAGATAAATCTAAAATTACCTTGATGCCATAGGGTAGTAGGTTGTTAATTATATTATCTCTTAGCTATATTATAAATACCATAAAAAATGTGAAAGTATTTGCCTTCTTCTTTGTTTGAAGGTGAAATTCAACATATCATGTTCCCCACTGCTTAATGAGGAAGTATCATGAAGACCACATCTGACCTCTTCTAACTATACCAAGATAAAGGGATAAACAACGCCATGCCAGCCCGAGGCTGATTGCCAAAATTCAGAGGTCAGACATGCCTCCACCTACCAGCCTTCCTTGCGGTATTCTAACAAAAAGTACCGTTCCTATTGTGTGAGGAGCAGAAGGATTTCTCTTAAGTGGTCTCCCCAAAATATGTACCAGACTTAACTGCTTAAGAATGACTGCACAATAGGTGGTCAGCGAAAGTAGGTCAGAGGTTATTCTCCTTAACATCAGCCATCTATAGTGGCTAGACTTTTAGTCTGACTCACCCTAAATAAGACCCACTCCCTTCTGATAAGGATAGTGGTGGTCTGTTTACATGCAGGAGATACCAGAGAGGGCAAACCTGCCCAAGGATGACCAAGGTTAGGTAGCCATTATCAGCTGTCTAGATCAAGCAGACACCACTGTTT